TATGCTGACTCTGTAAACGGCTTAGAGAGGGCTGAAAGCTCTATGAAGCAGTATATAAGTCTAACTGCTATTGCTATTTGCTGTTTTTTACATATTAGGCAGTTGTATTAGCCTCTAAGCCACAAGCTCTCCTCCCTTATCAACTGAGCCAAGGAAATAATTAAGTATTATGTCAAAGCACCTGGTATGCCCAAATATTGGAGGGAGCATGCATCCCTTTTGCCTTTCAGCTCCACCCTAGGAGCCTTCCAGGCAGGAAACCATTGGGGTAAGACACCCTTCAGTAAAGAGCCTTTAGTTGTTTCATTCTCTCTAAAATAGATCGGATTGCTCCCCTGAAAAGTATTTTAACTCCTAGTATTTAATTCATCTTTTTTTCTTGTTACCTTTGAAGGAAAAGCAGAGGCCTACTTGGAAGCCATCCGGAAGAATATAGAGTGGCTGAAGAAACATAAGACCCAGGGAAAGAAAGATGGTAAGGTCTGAGAAGTGGACTGTGGTATGGACAGGACCAATCCCAAAAACATGTTTTGGAATTCCGCTAAATAAAAAGCTTGATCGCGTAGCCTTGAGAAAATGGAGTATATGGAAAGACATACGGATGGATATACAGTGTAGAACAATGATGGTGAACCGTTGATCCACCGAGGGCCCAAACTGCGCACGCATGCATGCCCAAACCGAAAGCTGCGTGCGAACACATGCATGCAAGCACATGTGCCAATGTGCACACTCACACATCTGCGGACATGCACGCATGCGCAGCAGGGAGCTGAAGACCAGCTGGCCGGCGGGAGGGGTGGGGCAGCGCGGCAAGAGGTAAGATCTTTTTTTGTCCCCCATGAGCTTCTGTTTCATCGTTTGCAGGGAAACAGAAGCTCACCAAAGAAACGCCACGGAGATCTGACCTGTGGAGACAGCGTCTGTGCCAACAGAGAGGGCTATGCGTGCCACCTCTGGCACACGTGCCATAGGTTCACCATCATGGGTATAGAGGATATAGATGGGCATAGATGGGGAGTGATATTGGTTCTCTTAAATTGTCCACAGGATTTATCAGCAGTTGGAAATGGGCTTGGCCTATTAATGGGCACAGGACCAATTTCATAGCATTTATTTTGTACAATGACAATAAAGGGCTACACTATACATTAAATGTACCCACCCAATTCATAATATGCAGAATGACAAAAATGTCCACTTTATGATTGTCATTAAGAACTATGTCTTATGATGGAAATTCTGGTTGCGATTAAGTGGGGAGTATGTGTAAATTAAATGTTAAATAACAGGTAATTGTTCAGAGCTTGCTTCTCCTTTGGAACGTAGATCAGAATATTCCATTCAAAATATAACTGCAGCTTTCGAGCCCAAAAATATTGGAAGTTCCTTCTAGAGGGAAATAGATGATAGAGATAGGTAGGTAAGTAGGTAGATGATAGATAGATAGATAGATAGATAGATAGATAGATAGATAGATAGATAGATAGATAGATAGATAGATAGNCCCACCACTGTAAAATCAACTTTCTCCTTACAATTTATTCCCCTTCGGAGCTCATTTTAATAAACACGTATGCTATTATTCTGTCAAATCACCTTTCCTCTTTCGGACTTCTTGGTTACATATAACTATCAAAGGGGATGTAAGCGAATACATCTTGGAAGGAGAGGGATCCCTTTTGCCTGAATATTCTGAGAAATTGTAATAAAAGGATCTCCCTGTTCTCACTTGGAAAATATGCACACCGAGGCAGGAGCCTGAAAAGGGCATCTTTGCCCAACATTTCTGAGTTTGGCTTGGGTGATGGAAAGTCTGCAAGAAGATATGAATCCTTGCTTTTCTAGGTGGAACGGAGGGGAAAAAAATAGGATTTCTCCCACTTCCAACTCTTGAGCTGCATGGAGGCTTTGAAAACGGTTGCGAAGAATAGCTCTGGGCCACTCACAGCCATCAAAGCAGCCCCATGCGGCTAGGAATTAAAGCAGCTGTGTCCTTTTTTCAAGTCTCCCAACATAAATGTTTACCCACTGGAGAAATTTAAAAGCGGGTTTTTCCCTCCTCAGGCACGCTCAGAAGTTGAAAAAAATCCCACCATAACTACTTTAATTAGAAACAGAGAGGAGATACATTAAGGTAGTGTGTGTTGGAAATCTCACCCTTCCATTTTAATAGGACAGAATAACAGAGTTGGAAGGGACCTTGGAGGTCCTCTAGTCCAACCCGCTGCTCAAGCAGGAGACCCTGTACCAGTGATGGCGAACCTAGTGAGAGCCTAGACGATTTCAGACAAGTGGCAGTGCCCGCGCATGCATCCTACCCTCCAGTGACGCCTCCACAAGCCTCCGCAGCTGTTCGGCGGAGCGTCACACAGGCACCGTATGCGCTGTATTCGGAAGCACCAAAGAGTTCAAATGCAGGTATGGATGGCGGGTGGGTGGGTGGGTCCTCCGGAGCACCATACCAGAACGGTACTCGGTGCTCCAGGCAGGTACCGGTACGAACATACCGGGATGTACCGTCTGCAACCCACCACTGCACAAAATCCACAATAACATGGCTGGCTAACAATTTCCCCGAGCCGTCTCTGTTTCCAAAAAAACAGAATTGCGCTGTGAAATGCTTGCTCTGCTTTCTTTAATCTTGCTCATTCGGCATAGAGCGATCTCCGTGATATAGATTACTTTTTGATGGACGAGGGTAGGCAGAATAGAAACCCTCACGGATCCCACAAATTAATTGTCAAATAAACGCTGGATTAATGACGCTGTTTGAATTAAAATGCCAAACATCTGCAGGTGGCTTTGAAGGATACAAAAGAGCATTTTAGAAAAAATGTAATTCTCTTCCCTCCGACTTGACAAACTTTGCTATGAATGTGAAGCTTGAATGCACACAGACAGGTCCCCATTGATGCCCGGAGAGGGAAAATAGCACAAGGGCCCCCAATCATCCTTTGGATTCCATTTTGAGGTCTTAACAAGAGCTGCAGAACTAAACCCAGTGTACACTTGGCTTGGTTTGAGTCAGCGATAGGTGGCACATTTCGTTACCACCGTTTTGCTGTGCATGTGTGCGCCCATTTCACATGCATGCATGCATGCACAAAGCAGGCACATGAAGCCTTCCTCACAGGCACCCGACCTTCTGTGCATGCACTTTGCTCGCATGCACGCCTTCTGCGCAAGCGCCCGGCCTCAAAAACATGCCTAGCAATCCCCAGTGAAACCTGGGGAATGGGCAGGATTTTCTTTAGATTATCCAATTATGGTCAATAATAGTTAATTTAAATCCAATGGACTTTGAGCAGGGAAATCCACTTCAAGAAGTATTACTGGCTCTGATTGTGTTGAGAAAGAGAAAGGTGGGTGTGTAGATTGATATTTCAAGGTATTGAGGAAGAAACAGTGAAAATTGTTTCATTTTAGTCCATCATCGCACAGCCCCATGTTTTCCTCAAAACATATGTGTCGCCGTATGTAATTTTACAGGAGTCTCAAGATAGATTTATTACATACTAGCTGGAGACTTGTGCTTCGCGATGAAACTATGTGATCGGGCAATGCGGGAGAAATCCGGTTCACTAAGGTTCATTCCGTTGGCTCAGTGATGGTCGGTGACTGAAACACATAAGGGAATATCGCTCCTGCCGCCATGAGCCTGGAAGCAGTTCCGTAGGTGAAAGGCGTAGACATGTTGGTGAGGTGCGGACTTTTAGTACTGTAAGGAGCCTCAGACC